ACTAGGCCTCAGAAGGTGGGTAATAACAAACTCCTTCAAGCTAAAGGAGCATGTTCTAACCCAATGCAAGGAAGCTAAGAACACTGTAAAAGGTTTAGAGGAATTTCTAACTAGAATAACTAGTATAGCAAAGCACATAAATGACCTGGTGGAGCTGAAAAACACAGCACGAGAACTTCATGAAGCATACACAACTATAAATAGCCAAATCGATAAAGCACAAGAAAGGATATCAGAGACTGAAGATCAACTTAATGAAATAAAGGAGAAGACAAGATTAGAGAAAGAAAGAATGAAAAGGAACTAATAAAGCCTCCAAGAAATATGAGATTATGTGAAAACACCAAATCTACGTTTGACTGGTGTACCTGAAAGTGACCGGGAGAATGGAACCAAGTTGGAAAACACTCTTCAGGATATTATCCAGGACGACATCCCCAACCTAGCAAGACAGGCTAATATTCAAATTCAGGAAATACAGAGAACACCACAAAGATACTCCTCCAGCAGAGCAACCCCAAGACACATAATCGTCATATTCACCAAGGTTGAAATGAAGGAAAAAAAATGTTAAGGGCAGCCAGAGAGAAAGGTCGGGCTACCCACAAAGGGAAGCCCATCAGACTAACAGAGGATCTCTCTGCAGAAACCTTACAAGCCAAAATAGAGTGGGGGCCAATATTCAACATTCTTAAAAAAAAGAATTTTCAACTCCTAATTTCATATTCAACCAAACTAAGTTTCATAAGCAAAGGAGAAATAAAATCCTTTACAGACAAGCAAATGCTGAGAAATTTTGTCACCACCAGGCCTGCCTTACAAGAGCTCCTGAAGGAAGCACTAAACATGGAAAGAAACAACCAATATCAGCCACTGCAAAAACATGCCAAATTGTAAAGACCATTGACACTATAAAGAAACAGCATCAACTTTCAGGCAAAATAACCAGCTAGCATCATATGACAGGATCAAATTCACACATAACAATACTAACCTTACATGTAAACAGGCTGAATGCCCCAAGTAAAAGACACAGAATGGCAAATTGGATAAAGACTCAAGACCCATCGGTGTGCTGTATTCAGGAGACCCGTCTCACATGCAAAGACACACATAGGCTCAAGATAAAGGGATGGAGGAATATTTACCAAGCAAAAGGAAAGCAGAAAAAAAAGCAGGGGTTGCAATCCTAGTCTCTGATAAAACAGACTTTAAATCAACAAAGATCAAAAGAGACAAAAAAGGGCATTACATAATGGTAAAGGGATCAATGCAATAAGAATAGCTAACTATCCTAAATATATATACACCAAATACAGGAGCACCCAGATTCATAAAGCAAGTTCTTAGAGAACTACAAAGAGACTTAGACTCCCACACAATAATAGTGGGAAGTTTTAACAGCCTGCTGTCAATATTAGACAGATAAATGAGACAGAAAATTAACAAAGATATTTAGGACTTGAACTCAGCTCTGGACCAAGTGGACCTAACAGACATCTACAGAATTCTCCATCCCAAATCAACAGAATATACATTCTTCTCAGCACCTCATCACACTTATTCTAAAAGTGATCACAGAATTGGAAGCAAAACACTACTCAGAAAATGCAAAAGAATAGAAATCATAACAAACAGTCTCTCAGACCACAGTGCAATCAAATTAGAACTCAGGATTAAGAAACTGACACAAAACCTCACAACTACTTGGAAACTGAACAACCTGCTCCTGAATGAGTACTGGGTAAATAACAAAATTAAGGCAGAAATAAAGATGTTCTTTGAAAACAATGAGAACAAAGACACAATGTACCAGAATCTCTGGAACACATTGAAAGCAGTGTGTAGAGGGAAATTAATAGCACTAATTGCCCACAAGAGGACTCAGGAAAGATCTAAAATTGACACCCTAATATCACAATTAAAAGTACTAGAGAAGCAAGAGCAAACAAATTCAAAAGTTAGCAGAAGACAAGAAATAATTAAGATCAGAGCAGAACTGAAGGATATAGAGACATGAAAAACACTTCAAAAAACTCAATGAATCCAGGATCTGATTTTTTGAAAAGATCAACAAAATAGATAGAACACTAGCCAGACTAAAAAGAAGAAAAGAGAGAAGAATCAGACACAATAAAAAATGATAAAGAGGAGATCACCACTGATCCCACAGAAATGCAAAATACCATCAGAGATTATCATAAATACCTCTAAGCAAATAAACTAGAAAATCTAGAAGAAATGGATAAATTCCTGGACACATACACTCTCCCAAGACTAAACCAGGAAGAAGTTTAATCCCTAAATAGACCAATAACAAGTTCTGAAATTGAGGCAGTAATTAATAGCCTACCAACCAAAAAAATTCCAGGACCAAACAGATTCACAGCCGAATTCTACCAGAGGTACAAAGAGGTACAAAGCTAGTACCATTCTTTCTGAAAATATTCCAAACAATAGGAAAAGAGGGACTCCTCCCTAACTCATTTTATGAGGCCAGCATCATCCTGAGACCAAAACCTGACAGACACACACACACACACACACACACACATGCGAAAATCCTCAACAAAATACTGGCAAACCGAATGCAGCAGCACATCAAAAAGCTTATCCACCACGATCAAGTTGGCTTCATCCCTGGGACGCAAGATTGGTTCAACATACAGAAATCAATAAACACAATCCATCACATAAACGGAACCAATGACAAAAACCACATGATTATCTCAATAGATGCAGAAAAGGCCTTTGATAAAATTCAACACCCCTTCATACTAAAAACTCTCAATAAACTAGGTATTGATGGAACGCATCTCAAAATAATAAGACAGATTTATGACAAAACCACAGCCAATATCATACTGAATGGGCAAAAGCTGGAAGCATTACCTTTGAAAACTGGCACAAGACAAGGATGCCCTCTCTCACCACTCCTATTCAACCTAGTATTTAAAGTTCTGGCCAGGGCAATCAGGCAAGAGAAAGAAAGAAAGGGTACTCAAATAGGAAAAGAGGAAGTCAAATTGTCTCTGTTTGCAGATGAAATAATTGTATAAGTAGGAAACCCCACCATCTCAGCCCAAAATCTCCTTAAGTTGGTAAGCAACTTCAGCAAAGTCTCAGGATACAAAATCAATGTGCAAAAATCACATGCATTCCTATATGCCAATAACAAACAGAGAGCCAAATCATGAGTGAACTCCCATTCACAACTGCTGCAAAGAGAATAACATACCTAGAAATACAACTTACAATGGATGTGAAGGACCTCTTCAAGGAGAACTACAAACCACTGCCGAAGGAAATAAGAGAGGATACAAATAAATTGAAAAACATTCCATGCTCATGGATAGGAAGACTCAATATTGTGAAAATGGCCATATTGCCCAAGGCAATTTATATATTCAATGCTATCCCCATCAAACTACCATTGACTTTCTTCACAGAATTGGAAAAAACTACTTTAAACTTCATATGGAACCAAAAAAGAGCCTGCATAGCCCAGACAATCCTAAGCAAAAAGAACAAAGTTGTAGACATCATGCTACCTGACTTCAAACTATATCACAAGCCTACAGTAAACAAAACAGCATAGTAGTGATACCAAAACAAATATATAGACCAATGGAACAGAACAGAGGCCTCAGAAATAACACCACACATCTACAACCATCTGATTTTTGATAAACCTAACAAAACAAGCAATGGGGAAAGGATTTCCTATTTAATAAATGGTGTTGGGAAAACTGGCTAGCATATGCAGAAAACTGAAACTGGACCCCTTCCTTACACCTTATACAAAAATTAACTCAAGATGGATTAAAGACTTAAACATAAGACGTAAAACCATAAAAAACCTAGAAGAAAGCCTCGGTAATACCATTCAGGACATAGGCATGGGAAAAGATGTCATGACTAAAACACAAAAACCAATGGCAACAAAAGCCAAAATTGATAAATGGGATCTAATTAAACTAAACAGCTTCTAGGCAGCAAAAGAAGTTATCATCAGAGTAAACAGTCAACCTACAGAATGGGAGAAAATGTTTGCAAGCTATCCATATGACAAAGGGCTAATACCAAGAATCTACAAGGAACATAAACAAACTTACAAGAAAAAAACAGACAACCCCATAAAAAGTGTGTGAAGGATTTGAACAGACACTTTTCAAAAGAAGACATTTATGCAGCCAACAGACATATGAAAAAAAGCTCATCATCACTGATCATTAGAGAAATCCAAATCAAAACCACAATGAGATACCATCTCACACCGGTTAGAATGGAGATCATTAAAAAGTCAGGAAACAACAGATGCTGAAGAGGATGTGGAGAAATAAGAACACTTTTACACTGTTGGTGGGAGTGTAAATTAGTTCAACCATTGTGGAGGATAGTCTAGCAATTCCTCAAGGATCTAGAACTAGAAATACCATTTGACCCAGCAATCCCACTGCTGGGTATATACCCAAAGGATTATAAATCATTCTACTATAAAGACACATGCACATGCATGTTTACTGCAGCACTATTCACAATAGAAAAGACTTGGAACCAACTCAAATGCCCATCAATGATGGGCTGGATAAAGAAAATGTGGCACATATATACCATGGAATACTATGCAGCCATAAAAAAGGGTGAGCTCATGTCATTTGCAGGGACATGGATGAAGCTGGAAACAACCATTCTCAGCAAACTAACACAAGCACAGAAAATCAACACCGCATGTTCTCACTCATAAGTGGGAGCTGAACAATGAGAACACATGGACACAGGGAGGGGAACATCACACACTGGGGCCTGTCAGGGGATGGAGGGCTAGGGGAGAAACAGCACTAGGAGAAATACCTAATGTAGATGACGGGTTGATGGGTGCAGCAAACCACCATGGCGCGAGTATACCTATGTAACAAAACTGCACTTTCTGCACATGTACCCCAGAACTTAAACTATAATAAAAAGTAAAAAATAAAAATAAATAAAACTCTGATCTGTAGGCCAAAGGGTATTTCTTTTTCTTTATTAATTACTCAGAAGTCTAGGCCACAGCAATCCTACTGTTCTCCTCTCATTTTCCTAAACTATTTTGATACTTATTTCTCAGCCTTTACAGGCTATTAGATATTTCTCACATTTCCATAGATAATAACTCATCAGTTTTGCAACCTGATTCTCAATATTAAGACATTAAAACTAATGTACATGACTCTCAGTTGACACATACTGAGGTATAGAAAAATTCCATCATTTCCTTCTGCAAAATGAAAAAGATTTTAATTCGTTTTCTCAACAGCTGCATCATTTTTTTTTGCATAGAAAAAAATGTGCAATTACTCCAAGTACAATCAAGTCATTTAACATGGCTTTACCATCATTGTAGTTACAGGATATTTTAAAAGAGAAAAAAAAAAAATCTCAAAGCACAGGTCCTGCTGTGCAGCAAAGCAATCAAATTCCTTTATAATAACAGCCTGATGGGATTCAGCAATCTGAGGAATAATGAATAACCACTCTAATCAGTAAACAGGAAGACGCTACAACAGTCACTGAGTAAAAACTGACTATCATCTGTTGATTCTCTTGATCGGCATTTCAAACAATAAATTGAAATGTAAGTATCTCTTAAAAAGAAAAATAACTTTGTTTAGTGTGCTTAATTTTACCACGGAGTGAGGAAATTACATATCACCTTGATTGTCTTTCAGTGTGGCCCAGTCAATAAAATGCACAAATAATCTTTTTTATAATACATGGCCAACTTTATCCTATCACTTGAATACGTCAGGATAAACTGATTGTGGAGCTGGTTGATAACATTGTACTTTGGAACTGACTATTTGAATTTGTTTTGCTACTTTATTATTTGATATTCTTCTCCAGTGTTCATCTTATGAAGTTATTTGCATCTGAATATGAAGAGTCTGTTTCAAAATAGTCCTCAAGTTTCCAATGCAGTGTCTCAAATGTAGGTCGTTCCTTAGGCTCTGCATTCCAGCACTCCAACATGATATTGTAAAATTGCTGTGGACAATTGGATGGTTGGGGAAGTCTATAGTTTTGAGCCAACATCTGGATTACCTGGGCACCTGTCATACCTAGAAAATACAGAACGGAAACAATAACAACAACAACAACAAAAAACAAAGTTGAAGCTCAGAGTCTTAAACTTATAGCCATTTATACTCTAGGTTACCAAGTAAGTCAATTTCCTTGGCAGAGCTTTGAGGTCTACCATCCCCTTCCCAGGTTACACGGATTAAACTAAGTCCTGCAGCAAGTGATGTCTATAAGACTGCAATTCACTAGCAAAGGAGAGGGAAGTAATAAACCACCTCATTAATGCAAATTATCATCATCAAATTTTATCTATCAAGCTCCCGCAGGTACTTGGTATGGTCAGCCTCATAACTCTGCCCTCTAAGTCTGGGAGAAGCAGTTAAAGTCACACCTAAGTAAGTGACCTGCAGCAAAAAGGTCCACTTCAGAATTAATTACTCACCACTGTAAGGCATTTTGCCATAAGTAATGATTTCATAAAGAAGGATTCCAAATGACCACACATCGGACTTAATGCTGAATTTATTAGTACGAATGGCTTCGGGCGCAGTCCACTTCACCGGCAGCTTTATTTCGTGTTTAGATTCATAGATGTCTTCATTATCTACCTGTTAATGCATTAAGGAATCCAGGCCAAGTTAAAGCAATTTGTTTTTGCTACCCTCATTCATCTATAATCTGCTTCACATCAAAATTTAGAGAAAAAAGATTCAAAATGAGCTTAGTTCTATTGACAATTACATTAGCAAATTCTGAATCTGGTATACAGGACTGAAAAATATGTGGGAAGTCATTAATAAAATATTATTTAAGAGCCTACTATGTGCCAAGAATAGCACTGAAAGAAACATTCTGCTACATTTGGAGAATTAATACATGATTCTGGCTTCACATCTGATCCTGAGCGGAAAAAAAAGGAAGCAAAGTCTATTGTTTGATTTACTGATGATATTGAAAAGCCACTGACTTTGATAATTACCATGTAACCACTTGCTAATAATGAAAAGTAGGATCTAAGTGTTTTAAATTAATATATAAACTCACTGGGGTACTAATTAATTAACAAAAAGAAAAAAACTGATGAATTCATGAAGATTAAAAGGGAATCATTTATTTGTTGTTTCATGCCCTGTATCCATATTTTTAGGGTACAATATGGAAATTTCAAATTAATTTAAGAGAAAAACACCTAATATTACATCTATAGAGTATCTTTCAGACTGAGGTAAAAATTGGGAAATCAAAAAGCCAATGATTGCTGAAGAATTCTGGTGGCATGCAAATTAGTCTGGCATACAGTGAGTATTGGTGGCTAGGTTAACACTGCACAAAGTGTACAGCTTTTGTAAAGGAAACAGACGTGAACAGAGGTGACTGGTACTAACTGAAAAACAGATCATTAATTCACCTACATACTTAAGTACATACCTTCCAATCTGGTTGGTCACTGTTTTCTCTATTTTGTTTCTCCTTGATAAAGAAATAGGAATGTGCAGGCAGTTTGTAAGGTTTGGGACTACTGAAGTAGTTTATGGACTACAGAACTTGGAGAAACATTGTTTTAAAGAATAACAGTATATCTATTGGTTTACTAACTGTTAGACTTTTGACCTATTACAAAAACTAATTAAAACAAAACTAAATCCACCTTAAAAACTCTGGCAAGTCCAAAATCTGCTACTTTGTAGATATTATGTTCACCAACAAGGACATTTCTGGCAGCCAGATCTCTGTGAATGTAGTTCCGAGACTCCAGATAGGCCATTCCAGAGGCAACCTGTGCCGCTATGTCTACCTGTTGAGTCAGATGGATTTTTGACCCAGCATCACCTAAGCAAAAAGAGAAAAGTAAGAAAGTTACTTTAGAGAACATTTGAACTATTAAAGTGAATTCTGAGAATTTTGAATGAATGAGCTATCAGTGAGATTAAGTACAATGACACTGATCTGTTGAGCTCTCTCTCTCTCTCCATATATATATATATATATATATATATCTTTAACACAACTTAGTTTGCTGTGAAAAGTTAATAAGGCAACAATTTTTTCAGAGTCCAAACATATTCCAAGGTTCTCTCTTCCTCGAATGAGTATTACAAGTAACAAGTCATCACATGATTCAAACATGGCTACAATTATCTGAGACTGTGGCTATTTTGCCTTTTTTCTTTTTTTAAAATTTTATTTATCTTTTATTTTAAGTTCAGGGGTACATTTCCAGGTTTGTTATATAGGTAAACTTGTGTCATGGGGGATTACTGCACAGATTATTTCATCATCCAGGTATTAAGCTTAGTACTCATTAGTTATTTTTCCTGATCTTTTCCTTCCTCCCCACCTTTACCCTCTCATAAGACCCAATATGTGTTGTTCCCTTCTGTATGGGTGAACATAGCTCCCACTTATAAGTGAGAACATGTGGTATTTGGTTTTCTGATCCTGCATTAGTTGCTAAGGATAATGGCCTCCAGCTCCATCCATGTTGCTGCAAAGGACATGATTTCATTTTTTATGGCTGCATAGTATTCCATGGTATATACATACCACATTTTCTTTATCCATTCTACCATTGATGGGCATTTAGGTTAATTCCATGTCTTTGCTATTGTGAATGGTGCTGCAAGAAACATATATGTGTATGTGTCTTTATGATAAAACAATGTATATTCCTTTGGGTATATATCCAGTAATGGGATTGCTGGGTCAAATGGTAGGTCTGTTTTTAGATATTTGAGGAATTGCTGCACTGTCTTCCACAATGATTGAACTAATGTACACTCCTACCAACGGTATACAAACATTCCTTTCTCTCTACAACTTTGCCAGCATCTGTTATTTTTTGACTTTTTAATGGCCATTCTGGCTGGTGAGAGATGGTATCTCATTGTGGTTTTGATTTGCATTTGTCTAATCATAAGTGCTGTTGAGCATTTTTTTTCCACATGATTTCAATACCATATGTCACTAACTAATTTCTTCATGGAAATTATTACTTAACTGCTACTGAGTTTCTTTCAAGCATTGCGTACTTTGTTTTAGTCATTGAGCCAATAAAACAATACTAACTTTTATGGCTGAACCAATGAAAAATTCTCATTCTTCCATCATGTTGTTTTTAAAAACTAGCTCACTAACACAAATGAAAGGTCTATCCATAGTTATAAAGTATGTATATTACATTTGTACCACCAAGATTGATACATTTTTTTTTCTCTGCCTTAGTCTGTTATTCTTAGAATAGGTTGCTCATCTCTCCAGACATGGACATACCTTCAATAGGCAAAGTTTCTCCTACTGGGAATTCTTTATAACTAAGTATTAAAAAATTTATATAGTACAATCAGTTTGATTATTATTAATAGAGGGGGGTCAGCATTATTTTGTGGTGACTGACTCTTTGTATTTGCATTTGACTTACCTATTTTGTATTTGTACACAAAATAATACTGACTCCTTCTACTTTGAAATGGGGTGAGTCATCCCTGGGTAGGATTTAGCTGCCATACTGTTGACAGATGTTTTCAGATGTCTGGAGAATTAAAATAATATCACATCAACTCAAACTAATATTCCTCTTATATATCCCTGTCTGAATAAGCTGAATACTACACAAAGTCCATTAGACTCATGGTCAAAAGCATAGACATAAGCCCTGACTTGAGAGGCAGCTATATGCATTACAGGGGTCAGAAAATCTGGTTTGAAGCTAGAGGGCCAGACTTTCAATCAAGGATATGCCTGATATTTCTTTGTGACCTTGGCAAGCATCTTAACATTCCTATGCGTCAGTTTCCTCATCTGTACAATGATAATAGTAACTACTTTATGGTATTTCTTGTTAAAATGAAAATTAAAATGAATTAATTCATGTAAAGCACTTAAAGCAGTGCTTGGCACCTAGAAAGAACTCAGTAGATCCTATCTGTTATTATCATTCCTCCTATCTAATCAAGATAAAACATAGAATCTGCTAAGTTAGAGATACATATGAATTACCCATGTGGAAATGACTGAAGGAAGACAAGCTATGGGTCTGGAACTCAGGGGAGAATATGCAGCAAGAGATATTGATTTAACAATCATAAGTTATAAGTGGGAGTTAAAACAGTAAAAGTGGGTGAGATTGCTGGGAAATGACAGAGAAACACCAATATTGAAGGTGGGCAGAGGAAGATAAACCTATAAGAAAACTGTGAAGAATCAGCCAAAAGAATATGAGAAGAAAACCACTAGAGAAACTTGTAACATGTCAAAGGTTTTGAAAAAGAGAAAATGCCATCATAGTCAAATTCCACAAATAAGTCCATGAAGAAAAGGACTAAGACATTTGTCGAATATAATAAGGGAGTCCCTGGTGATCTTGGGGATAGGAAGAGCAGTTTGACTGGAGATCAGGTGGGTATAAGGATTTGAGGGCTAAATACGAGTGAAGGACATAGAGACAGAAGAAAGAGGTGGCAAATTCCAAAATCCTAATCAAGAAGGAAAACAAGAAGGTTCTGGTAGAGGTAAACATAAAATAATGGGAAAGCAATTATCATACAATTTGGGATAGTGAGGGGTTGTAATTGATAAAGTATTCAGGGGGTTTCTAGGGTGCTGGCCACATTCTAATGCTTGATCTGGGCAGTGACTGAATGGTTGCTTATTTGTTTGCTTTACAATTACATGTTAAATGATATTATATGATTATATGTTTTCTACATATATGCTATTTTTAATAAAAAATGAAATAAATAGAGCCAAAAGAATTTTTAAGGGAAACACTTAAGCAGTGTGTGTGGGTACATATATATTTATTTTTTTAAGGCAAGTAGCATATCTCAATAAGTTGTGAGGTGAAATTAACTGCTTACCAATCCTTTCGTCCTTTCTTTTATCCCTGAGCACAGACAGAAGATTACATTTCCCATCTTCCCTTAGAGTTAAGTTGAGCCCTGTCACTAGTTCTGGGCAATGCAATGTGTGCAGAAATGATGAACATCACTCACAAGCCTGGCTGTTAAAATCTCCCACATCTTTATGGCTAGAGGGATGCATTTCAAAATGGTAGAGCCACATGAGTCTAAATCCCTGTATTATCCTTTAGAGAAAGTCACCTAGCAGAGCAGTCTGGCTCATATAAAAAAAAAAAAATACCTATTGTTTTGTATTAAGTCATAGAGAGTTTGGAATTCTATATTATAGCAGATGACATTATGCAGTCTAATACAAGATATAAGCATGAAAATAAATTATAACTTAGTATGCAGTATAATGGCAAAACATTGCTGCTATGATAGCCAAAATAGCTAGGCCTTTTGATATCAAATTCACTCAATAAGAAAAGAAATGTATGGAAATTAAGACAAGCTGGTTACTAACCGTGAGTTATGTGGTATCTTCTAAAATGGCTCCCAGTTATCTGTACCTCCTGATATTCAAGCCTTTGTGAAAGCCTCTTCTACTAATTGTGGCCTGGACCTAGTGACTCATGTTTAACAACAGAATATGGCAGAAGTAGGTGGGATATCACTTCCAAGATGAAATTAGAAAAGGCTGTGACTTTGCCTTACAGATCATCTCCACCCTGTTGTTCTCTCGCTTGCTCACTCTAATAAAGCAAGCTGCTATGCTGCAAGCTGCCCAATGGAAAGGTCCCTGTAGCAGGCAGCAAAGGGCATCTTGCAGCCAACAACCAGAAAGGAACTGATTTCCTCAGTCCAACAGCCCAAGAGGAAACGACTCCTGCCAAGAGTTAAATGAGTGAGTTTAGAAGTGGATTTACCTCCATCAGAGCCTTCAGATGACTGGGTACTTGCCAACACCCTGACTGCAGCCTTGTAAGAGGCCCTGAACTAGGAGACCCAGCGAAGCTACGCCTAGATTCCTAACCACAGAAACTGTGAGATAATAAACATTTGCTGCTGTAAGCCACTAAGTTTTGTGGTACTGTTTTGTGCAGCAATAGACAACTAATACAGATTGATGTTACGAATATAACATCAGTGCTATGAATATAGTTAAAAACATGAACTATGAAGCCAAACTTCCGACTTGGATGAGTTACCTAATCTCTCCATACCTGTTTCTTCAACTGTAAAGTGGGACTACTAATACTTACCTCATAAGGTGGTTAGATAAATGAATGAAGCTCCCTTGTAAGTTGTATTCCTAGGAATTTTATTCTCTTTGTAGCAATTGTGAATGGGAGTTTGCTCATGATTTGGCTCTCTATTTGTCTATTACTGGTGTATAGGAATGCTTGTGATTTTTGCACATTGATTTTGTATCCTGAGACTTTGCTGAAGTTGTTTATCAGCTTAAGGAGTTTTTGGGCTGAGACAATGGGGTTTCTAAATATACAATCATGTCATCTGCAAACAGAGATAATATGACTTCCTCTCTTCCTATTTGAATACTCTTTATTTCTTTCTCTTGCCTGATTGTGCTGGCCAGAACTTCCAATACTATGTGGAATAGGAGTGGTGAGAGAGGGCAGCCTTGTCTTGTGCCAGTTTTCAAAGGTAATGCTTCCAGCTTTTGCCCATTCAGTATGATATTGCCTGTGGGTTTGTCAGAAACAACTCTTATTATTTTGACATATGTTCTGTCAATACCTAGTTTACTGAGTGTTAAGGACCTCTTTAAACAGAACTACAAACCACTGCTCAAGGAAATAAGAGAGGACACAGACAAATGGAAAAATATTCCATGCTCACGGATAGAAAGAATCAATATTGTGAAAATGGCCATACTGCCCAAGGTAATTTGTAGATTCAATGCTATTGCCATCAAGCTACCATTGACTTTCTTCACAGAATTAGAAAAAACTACTTTAAATTTCATAT